TTCGTTGTTGTGCACTTGTAATAGTTTTGATAGGGTTAAAACCTGTGTTATCAGATATTTATGTGAATTTTGTTAGAAATTAAAATTTAAAATACCAAAAAAATCATGTAATCAATTGACAAAATATAATTAGAAAATAGTAACTTTTGGTTCGATTTTTAATAATTCAAGTTTGGTTTGGGTAATTTAGTATTTAAATCTATGAACCCATTTAAACTATCATGTAATTCAGTTCGAGTTCAGATTTTTTAATTTTGATTTGTTTCTTTTCGGTTAGTGTATTTTCTATATCCCTTGGTGAAATATATTCATATACAAAATGATCGTAAATTTGAATAAATACAAGCAGATCTCGAATTTTGAGTAATAATTCATGCAGTAAGTACAATTGATTTTCTTAACTAAAGTGATACTAATTTTAGAAGGGAAACTTTTTACTCTGTGTATAGAGCGTGTATTAGTCTAGTTGTTTGTTAAAATGAGGGGATTGAGATGTTGGATATTTATTTTTGTGAGGTCTTGGATTTGGTCATTTCTTATTAAGTTGTGTGAAGTTCACTGTGAATTAGGAAACGATAAAAAAATGTAGCATCCGCTTGATCCTTTTCTTTTTTGGTCGAAAGCTTGTAATTTCATTAAACCGGCGTAGAACCGAGGTTAAGCGATACATTTTGGAAATCTGATTTTGCCAAAAAAAAAAACAGCCTCATTGTTGTTCGACCATTGAATATACTCAAAGAAATAATTTTCAGATCTAGAGAAACTTTGAGGATATCTTGTAAGATCTCAAAGATTTTCAAGTTTTGGGTCTTTGACGCTATCAAATGTTTTGAGTCCAATGCTACTCGAAACTGCTTCTTTCGGTCGCTTGCTGCATCCATCAAAGCTTCACGGATCGCCAACGTCTCTACCATTAGAGGTACGAGTTTATGTGGGTCATCGCTGCCGATCCTTAGGACATGATATGATCTTCTCGATTGCAAATTACCAAGCCAAGTGCTATCTTCGAGTCACTTCTCCAAGCCGCGTCAGTGAAAGATCGGAGGTTCCCCATCGCTGATTGTTTGTGTGTTGGACCTGGGAATTGAAGTAAAGGCTCTAGCTCTGGTTCTTGCTCCAAGATCCACTCCCGTGCATTGCGAATTGCTTTGGTCATAGTTTCCTCCACTGTGAAGGTTCTATTGCTGAAGAGATGATTGTTGCGTGTTAGCTAGAGGTTCCAGCAGATCTAGGAAAGAATGGGGCATGATCCACACACTCGGTTTTAAGAATTAAATAGGGATATATCATCCTTTAGGGCAACTTCATTGGTGAAAATCCTAAATCAGTTTCTCAAAAATAAAATATTACTCCCTCTATTTCAAAAATATATGTTGTTTTATAGGTTTTTTTTTTTGTTTCAAAATACAAATTGTTTTGACAATCCTAGATATTTTGTATTTTATTGAATATTATGCGATCAAGGATATTATGCAATCTTATTTATAGTTGGTTGAATTATTTTTATCCTATTTGTTAAATAATAATTTTTGAAGGAAAAATAGTTCTTTA